TTTTTAGCTGATTTATTCCATTTTTTTTTCCATTAAGTGATCCAAATTATAGAGCATTAAAGCATCATAGATCCTTGGGTCTTCTCATGATGATGTTGAATGAATAAATAAGAGGAAAATAAGGTCAGATGATTTACCAATACCTTTGATTTATGGGTGTCATAATTTTATTAAGTTTTGCCCCTGTATTAGCACACCGTTTATGGGTTTTTTAGATTAAAATAAAATTTATCATTATGTTATGATTAATATTTAACTTTATTATGTAATTTTAATTATGTTAATTTTTTGATGAAACATAATGAAATTGAAATATTTCAATGAATAGTCTTTTTATGTAAAACTGTAAATTTTATCACTTTACTTTTAATGTAGTTAATTTTTTAATAAAAATTAACAAAATTAAAATATTTTATGAAATATATTTTTAATATAATAGTAAATTTTCATCAATTTATGTATCATAAAATCAAGAAAACTAAAACTAGAATGATACAAAATTAAAGTGCAATAATAAAATTCAATATCAATCCATAACCCCACTACAAATTTATTGAACATTGTTTGTCTTCACATTATTTTGGTCCTTGCTCAAGGGCTTTTTCCAGTACATTGTTGATTATTTGGGCCCAATCCGTCAAATGCGATGCGAAGCCCAATAATTGAGCGATGTAATTCCGCTGCCAAATTATCAAATGCAAACTCTTTTCTTAATAATAAAATGTTCAGTTGATGGGTGTTGTTAAGGTTAGTTAATTTTTTAAATCATTAATGTATTAATCTCATCAAATTAAAAAATACATATGAATTGCAATTTTTTTCTTTTTTTTTGTAAATATCATATTAAAAATCAACTAAATTTTTCTGACTGATTAAGGGTGCATCCCTGCAAACCCAGTGAGATGGTATCCAGGTACCATTTTGCCTTCATCTGCACTATTTTGGATACAACCTCACAGTGCAACTGTGAAACTCCATCGCGTATTCGTGTCATATGAAACGTTAAAATAAAATTATATTTTATAATTTATGTTAATACAAAAATATATAATATATTTTTTTAACTTGTTAAACCCATATTCAACTATTATTAAAATTTTAAATTATATTATTTTTTATTATTTTATATTATATTCATATCGTGTCTATTTTATATCATTAGGTCATTTCTAATCCAGTTGGAGACTGGTGAAGGAAGGAAGAATGTTGCACTGTTCCCAACAGTGGGACTTCTTTTTCTATTGAAATTGTTTGTTACTTTTGAACTAGAGGAATTCCATGCCCGTCAAAGGTGTTCGACTTCTCATATGTAATTTCGTTGCAGACCACTTTTTCAAGTCAAGTCAGTCGACATTTTTGACTAAAAAATTTCACTGTCTTAAATACAAAATAGAAATAGATTACTTTTTCGATTACGGTAGTCCACCGTTTGCTAATAGCATTGAAAGGTATAGTACTCATTTTTATCTCCTTTTCCCTTGCAATAGCTTAGGATCCTCCCGTTATGCAGTATCAAAAAGCTTCAGTTGATTTAAAAACTATAGCCTTTCATCTGATTGCAGTGAAGTTATGGATGCCAGAGAGCCATGTTTGGGATTTAAGAAATGCTATATTATATATATTTTTTCATTCAATGGCAAACATACAGACATCTGATATGTTTCAGAACATTTTTATTTTTTAGAAAGTCAAAGCAATTTATGAATGTTTCTGCTCCTCTGCGTTCGAGAATACTGTTTCTGCATTAGAAACATTGCCCCAAAGGGTTCCTGAGTGAGTTTATCTGTCTTCTCCCCATGTAATATGCAGCTACTTAAAGTTGAGTTTGTTATATACCCACATGACACATATAGATGATGTGAGCAATCAATGAGCTCATGTATAACACTTATCCATATATCCAATGATTAATTTTAATTCAATTTTATAACCGTTTCTTCTTCTGCCATGCATCTTTTAGCTCTTGAGGCTACAAAATCTAACCCTCAGGCATTTTCTGTGGGAACAAATTAGGCCTACCAACTCATGAAGGAAAAATTCAAAAGCTCACGAAATGTGTTCTACAATTCCTCATAGATGTAGATAACAATAAAATTATATAATTTAAAATTACTTGTAGGCATGATTGCTTGCCATGTTGATTATATGACAAAAGTACCTGTCTTTTTGTGTCTTCAAGGGCTGTGTTTGGCATCTTAGAAAAAAAAAAATAATTGAACAGATTTTTCCTTTTGAAAGGAAAAAAAGAAAAGATGGTTAGAATACAATGAATATCATATATTATCCGTTCCTGATTTCTTGCCGGTTTGGTGAACAAGAATAATATATAAAAGTATAAATAATCATTTTGTTAAAAATTGTCATATTCAATCAATCTTTAAATTTTTTATTATTCTTCTTCTTCTTCATATTTCTTTCTTAAATCAACATTTAAACTTTTTTATATATATTTTTATCCTTTTTTATTCTAACTTAAACCTAAAGGAATAAAAACAATTTTTTTTTTTTTTTACATTGAGAAAGATCATTTTCCACTTCACAATGCCAAGAAGACTTTGTTTTTAGATAAGTTTATAGCCAACCATACAAATGCAATAATCTTCCCATTATTTCTTGTAGATAATTTTACATTGAATTAACAAGAATTAAAAAAATATATATTTGAACAAAATTGAATGTTAAATTTTAAGATTTTATTTTAAAAGTTTGAGTTTGAATTTTAAAATAAAACCAATAAAATAATAAACCGCTATGTCTCATCATGTAATATCTAATTATATAAAAAACAACATACATGGTGGCCACAAATAATTGAAGCTTAAAGTAGCTTGGAAGCAAAAAACTTGAATTTGCAAAAAACGACAATAATAGGGAAAATAAAAGAGCTTATTCAAAATCAAAGAGCCTAAAAAATGAGGTAGGTTTTGACCTACCAAAGAGATGACTCCACAAATGTTTCAACATCAAAGCATGAAATCCACTTTGGGTTAAATGTATCACAGGAAAAAAAAGAAAAAAAAAAAAGTGGACCCATAAGGGCAAACTTGGTGGCTTACTTGTTTTGACTCAACCATTTCAATTTCAAAGCACTCATAATTCACACCCAATTTCTTTTTTTTTTCTCTTATCAATCAACTGTTTAACTTGACTCATTAAAAAGGATAGGAATCTTCTATATTATTTGTCTTTTTTTTTGTTTTAATAAAAATATTTTTGGAAATAATGCAAAATTATTGAGTTTGTAATTAGCATTATAAATATAGCCATGCCATCCTCCCAAATTCAACTAAAATACATTTAAAATATATATATATATATGGGTTTTTTTTTCAAAACCCAAATCTATTTTAATGTGTTTAAATCATCAGGTTACATATTAAAGAAAAATCCAAAAAAAAATAATAAAAAAACCATTGACATGTGATTATCTGGACAATTTTAATGTTATTTTCAGAACAAAAAATTATGTGATGTTTGAGGGAAAACGTCATCAATGACAAAACATTTGTAAAAATAGGAAAAAAAATTAATGAAAAAAAATGGTGTTATAGAAGTGGAAATCATATGTGTAAAATGGGGATTGACCTTTTAACTATAGCACAAGTGGCCTCATCATCTCATCGTAGACTAGGAACGAAAAAATGAAGTGTTATTCGAAGTTATCATTTTGAGGAAGACCAATGGGTTTTGCACATTTCATTAAGGACGGTAAGGAATGAATGAGACTGGAAAAGGACTAATGTTTTTTGGCCTAGCTAGGTGAAAATAATGCAAATTGACCAACTAATGTATAGTATGTAATGATTATAGCTGAAGAAATTATAAGGTTGTGTAACATATATATATATATTTTTGGCTTTTCCCTACCATAACACATCTTATTGGCCTTTTGTTTTACTTCTTCGAATCTGATGTCTAGATTTTTATTTTATTTTTTATGTATGATTTCTAAGGATGATTTTATTCATTGAAATTTGAAAATGTAACCTTGGGAATAATGTCTAAAACTCTTTAGATATATATAAAAAAACTGATTAATGTGCATAACCAAAAATTAGAAGTTGACTTGAGTAAAAATTTTATGCATATAATAATATAGAGAGAAGACAAAATTGTTTTTTTATGAATAAAAATCATAATTTTGGGATAAAATAAAATAAAAAATATTAAGATTTAAATTTCGATTGTTAAATTCAAATTATTAAATTTTTTGACATAGGAGAATGTTTCCCAATATGAAGGGGAGAAGAGGGAGTGGCAAGGCAATATATGAACCATCCTTAGCTACTTCTCTTGGAGAATAAAATAAATGTTGGTTTTATTCTATTAAGTCTCAAGTCATAGTTTATTAATATTGAAAGAATCCATAGCTAGACTCTAGCAACTCACAACTTGAAAGCTGAAATTTATATATTTTTTATTCTTTTAATTACATCCTCTTTAATTAGAGTTTTGTTTCATATAGCAAAATGAAAGAGTTTAAATTGGCATGTAAATTTTACAAATGGAAATCTTAAATGATGTCTAATGACATTCATTAAAATGATATATAATATAATATATTATTTCTTTTTGAATTTGATGAAAATAGTACATTAAATCTAATTTTTTAAATAGTATTTTTAAAATAGTAATTTTTTTTGAAGATTTTTTAAAATAATATTTTAATTACACTTAATCAGTGCTGTAAGCACCTGTTAGCTCGACCCTTTTATAAATTTATCTCAAACAATGTTGCGTTTATCTTTTGATTTCAATTGTACGAAATTAATGTGCAAAGTGTAGAAATCTAATCATGCATTAAGTATGGGATTGTACCAACATGGTAACCTTTTTTCTATTGTAAGCAAGTTGATGGCTTAAAAATTCAATTCCTAGACTTTAAACCATCTTAAGCAACTGGATTGTAGTAGAAAATAATTATTAAATTATTTTTGAAAAATACTGAAAATTGGTTGGCTAAAAGCCTGAGAATGCACTGAAATCCATAAAAAAAACCTTTTCGGTTGTAGAAGGAATGAGGAAAAAAAAAGCATAAAACCCTGAAAGAAAAACTTGAAAAATAAACAGACTTTCCAGGTTAACTTTTTTGAAGCACTAAAATATATAATGCAAAGAGATAGAGTGAGAGAGGAGAGAAAAGAAGAAGAGCATGGTCATGCTTTGTCGGCCATCTCTTTTCTTACATAACCTTCACATCCACACCAAGCAAAAATGATTGTCTTAAAATCATTCTGTATACATAGACAAACCGAAAACACTTTGGTTTTTCTTAGTTTCTTTTTAGCATAATCCTACAAAAAAAAAAAAAAAAAGAGCTGTTTAGTTTATTGAACTTTGAGTCCATTGAAAACCAGTTCATTATTTAATGCAAACCAGTTCATATTTTCAATCAAAGTTTAAGCTTCTGAGGTTTCCCTGTATAAATATTTTCTGGGAAACTGAGAAAGCTTTTCCTGCAGCAGGTTTTCTAGGAAGGAATAGTTGTTTTCCTTGGGAGGGTTCTACCTGGAATTCTAAAAAGGTATGTCAAAATCTCTCCTTTTTTCTGTTTTAAAGTTGTAAACAATTGTTTACTGTTTATTTTATGCTTTTGATCATATGCATCTTATATTTTATATATATTTTGATAGTTTGAAACTCTTCTTTTAACTTCAGGCTGGTTGTCTGGAAACCTGATGATCATGGGAGAAGATTGATATTTATGCATCTGGGAATTGGTTTGAGTCATTCAGCCTTTAAACTTTCTATAATTCATGTGAATGCAACCTTTGGATATGGGGAGATCATTATTACGTAGGCTGTTCACTGTTTTTATTCTAATTCATGTCCTTTTGGTTCATCAGTCCAATGAGCTCAACTCTGAGGGTCAATATCTTCTTGATATTAAGAGTAATCTTGTTGACAAGTTTAACCATCTGGGTAATTGGAACCCCAATGATCCAACTCCTTGTGGATGGAATGGTGTGAATTGCACCTCCATTGGTTATTACAACCCTGTGGTCCAGTCTCTTAATTTGAGTTCAATGAACCTTTCTGGTTTTCTGTCTCCAAGCATTGGTGGATTGGTTCATTTGACTACCCTTGATCTTTCTTTCAATGGGTTGTCTCAAAACATTCCTAAAGAGATTGGAAATTGTTCAATTTTGGAGATTCTCAATGTCAATGATAATGAATTTGAAGCTCAAATTCCCATAGAATTATGCAGCCTATCTTATTTGACAATTCTAAATATATACAACAATAGAATATCAGGGCCTTTCCCTGATGAGATTGGAAATCTTTCTTCTTTGTCACAATTGTTTGCATATAGCAACAACATCAGTGGATCATTGCCAAGTTCTCTTGGGAACCTTAAGAGTCTAAAATGTTTTCGAGCCGGGCAGAATTTGTTGACAGGAAGTTTACCTTCTGCTATAGGTTCATGTGAGAGCTTGGAGTATCTTGGTCTTGCACAAAATGCATTGACAGGAGAGATACCAAAAGAGATTGGAATGCTTAAGAACTTGAAAGAGTTAATCCTTTGGGATAATCAGCTCTCTGGGTTGGTTCCAAAGGAGTTTGGCAATTGTACAAATTTGAGTATTCTTGCTCTCTACGACAACAGGCTTTTTGGAAGGGTACCCAAGGAGCTTGGGAACCTTATGAATCTCAAGGAGTTATACCTTTACAGAAACCAATTGAATGAAACAATCCCAAGGGAAATTGGGAATCTTTCTTCGGCAGAACAAATCGATTTTTCGGAGAATATGTTGACCGGAGAGATACCAGTTGAGTTGAGTAAGATAAAAGGGTTGCGTTTGCTTTATCTTTTTGAGAACCATCTTACAGGTGTTATTCCTGTTGAGCTTACCACTTTGAAGAATTTGTCAAAGCTTGATCTCTCCATAAATTATCTCCATGGTCCTATTCCTACGGGATTCCAATATTTGACAGAATTGATCATGTTTCAGCTCTTTAACAATTCAATAAATGGTAGCATTCCTCAAAAACTTGGGGCTTATAGCCCACTTTGGGCAGTTGATTTATCAGACAATCAACTAAAGGGAAGGATCCCTCCTCTTCTTTGCAGAAATTCTAGCCTGATCTTTCTGAACCTGGGGTTAAACAAACTCAGTGGAAACATCCCATCTGGTGTTACAAACTGCAAATCACTGGTTCAACTTCTTTTAGTTGGTAACAGCCTTACAGGAAGTCTTCCATCCAGTCTGTGCAAATTGGTAAATCTGTCTGCCGTTGAACTTGGCCAGAACAAGTTCACTGGGCCAATTCCTCCAGAGATTGGAAACTGCAAAACTTTGCAGAGGCTACACCTTTCAAATAACTACTTTACATCAGAGTTGCCAAGAGAGATTGGTAATCTTTCCCAGTTAGCGAGCTTTAATGTCTCATCAAACTCTCTCACTGGAAGGATACCACAAGAAATTTTTAATTGCAAATTGCTTCAACGACTTGATGTCAGCCGGAATCGATTTATGGGAAATTTGGCCAGTGAGGTGGGAACACTTTCTCAGTTGGAGCTTCTCAAGCTTTCAGACAATAATCTGTCAGGGATAATACCTCCAGCACTAGGAAATCTTTTGCGTTTGACTGAGTTACAAATGGGGGGCAACTCATTCTATGGTAATATACCAGCTGAATTAGGTGCCCTCTCCAGCTTGCAAATTGCATTGAATCTCAGCTATAACAGTCTCTCTGGAGTAATCCCTCCTGAGCTTGGGAATCTTATTTTATTGGAATACCTTGTGCTTAATAACAACCACTTGACTGGTGAAATCCCAGGTTCTTTTGCGAATCTATCAAGCTTACTTGGATGCAACTTTTCCTACAATGACTTAACAGGGCCTATACCTTCTCTACCACACCTCGAGAGCATGGCTATCAGCAGCTTTATTGAGAACAAAGCTCTCTGCGGTGGACCTCTTGGTGGTTGTAATCCATCACCATCTCAGTCCTCTCTTCGGCCAGGTACAGAAGATAAAGGTAGCCGGTTAGGTAAAGTTGTGGCTATAGTTGCAGCAGCCATTGGTGGAGTTTCTCTTATTTTGATAGTAATTATTATATATTTCATGAGACGTCCAGTTGAAATAGTTGCTCCTTTGCAAGAAAAACCTTCTTCTGCTCGAGTTTCAGACATTTACTTTTCCCCCAAGGAAGGATTCACTTTCCAGGACTTACTTGCAGCCACTGACAATTTTGATGAGAGCTTTATTGTTGGTAGGGGAGCTTGTGGAACTGTATATAAAGCTGTCTTACCAATTGGTCATGTAATTGCTGTTAAGAAGCTTGCATCCAACAGGGAGGGCAATAATAATGTGGATAACAGCTTCCGTGCAGAAATTTTAACCTTGGGGAATATCAGGCACCGGAATATTGTGAAGCTCTATGGTTTCTGCTACCATCAAGGTTCCAATCTCCTTCTCTATGAATACATGTCAAGAGGCAGTTTGGGAGAGCTGCTTCACGGAACATCGTGCAATCTTGATTGGAGGACAAGATTCCTGATTGCCTTGGGGGCTGCTCAAGGTCTTGCTTATTTGCATCATGATTGCAAACCTAGAATTTTTCACCGCGACATAAAGTCCAACAACATATTGCTTGATGAAAAGTTTGAAGCTCATGTCGGTGACTTTGGATTGGCAAAAGTCATTGACATGCCACAATACAAGTCAATGTCTGCAATTGCAGGTTCTTATGGCTACATTGCTCCAGGTAAGTTCTCTCTTGTAAGCCTTTCATTTTCAAATTTTCTGTTTGAAGTTTAAAAATTCTGTTTAAAGAAGGTATTCTGTTTCTTCATTGCTATATCATGCTGTCCCAAAAAACTATAGATGTCGGAAGTAACATCATCTTTGAACTAGTGAATGAAGCAGTAGTTGTTGCTAGAGTTACTTTTATACATGTTCATACTGATGAGTTCAATGTTTACATGCTTGAAATCTGTCACAGAGGATAGTGAATAGCTGAAATTTTTGTACAAAATATTTGCATTTCATCACAGTTTTATCAGACTTTAGCATACATCAAGTTGCTTTTAGCTGATAAGTATGATCATTTAAATACAGAATATGCATATACCATGAAAGTCACAGAAAAATGTGACATCTATAGCTATGGAGTTGTCCTATTGGAGTTGCTGACTGGCAGAACACCCGTCCAACCTCTAGATCAAGGCGGTGATCTTGTAACATGGGTGAGAAATTACATTAGAAATCAGTCATTGTCACCTGGAATACTTGATGCTCGATTGAATCAACAAGATGAGAGTACTGTTTCTCATATGATAACAGTCTTGAAAATTGCTTTGATATGCACAAGCATGTCTCCTTCTGATAGACCAACAATGCGAGAAGTTGTTTTGATGCTCATGGAATCCAACAGGCGCGAAAGCCACTTCGATACCTCCCCTAGTCATGACATTGATTGACTTGGATGAACCTGATGATATTGTAGGTATAATAATTTTAATTAACCAGGATAATTTTTCAGTTCTACTTGTAGAAAATATAGCAGACTGTCCTGTAAATTTCTTCATAGAGCATCATCACTCTTATTACTGTCTTCCTCATCTAATTTTGCCTATAATGTTTTGTCAACTTTCATTCCATTTCAGCAGTAATGTGACTTAAGACTTTTACAAGAACATAGTCACGGATGCATGGGAATGTCACCTTGCAATAATCTTTGAGGCAGTGCACTTGCATTAGCCTCTTTTTTGCATTCATATTTCAAGTTCAATCCAAAGTTTGGAAGAAACTTTTATCCTCTTTTCTCACAAATCAAAGCTTCAAAAAATAAGAGGTTGATGTATCTCCCAATTAGACTATTAAAAGTTTATTAAAAAAAAGAAAGAAATTAAAGCCTTTTCTTCATTTTTTTTTTTTTTTTAGATACCAATTATTTATTATTTTAGATGAAAGGAAACTCAAACTCACTCTTTTGAATAAGGAAATAAATTTATTATTGAACCAAATGTTCAGTCCAAAAATAAAGATTATATGATGATCTTTCATCTTTCACTACTGTTGCTAAATAACATCTCATAGCAATTATTGAAATTCACATTCTTGTAGCAATAATCATCCATAAAAATGAAAAACAAAGAAAAAAAAAAGGTATTGATCACATCGAATTTAACAATAATGTTTTTTCTTAAGAAAAGAAAGATTCAATTTACAATCATGCCATTTTCGACATGCCTAACATGAAATTTATTTTTTTATTTTTGCCAAGTTTATATAAATTTTTTTTTAAAAATTTTATCATTTCGTATTTTTATCGAAAGAAAAAAAAATCTGAGTTGAATTGCTCCATCATCGGTGGACCTTCTTCCAATTGATGTGGGCTCAAGACTCACACCGCCAACATTGGGCCTAATGTGTCAAACAGCTCGGCCCAAATAAAGGAAATACAAAATCTCCTCAAATCCTTTAAAAAGGTTTAAAAAAGCAATTATGCTCATAATTATCTACCAACATGACTTTCCATATTTGCCAATTAATAATCTCAAAATTACAGAAATTTTCCTAAATTTAACTATTTTATTCCATAATAATAAATAACAAATTCAAAATTTAAAATTAAAAAAATTGTTTTTATTTAAAAATTATCATTTTAAATAAAAAATAAATTTGATAATTTATGTATTTTTATAATACTTATTTAATTTTAAATATTTATAAAACACAAAAAGTATTAAGTCACAATTCACATTATGTCAAATATAAAATATATATTTTAAATTTTATTAATTTCATATATAATTTTTATTAAAATTTTAAATTATATTATTTTTTTGATATAATAGGCAATTAAATTATAGATTAAAGAGAAATTTATTATTTTTTTAATTTTACCTTTTTCTTATTTTTTTCCAACTTACCTAAGACGGTAAAAGTAATATCCCAAACAGATCATCAAACTAGATAGTGTCGCTGTCGCTAACAAACGGAATGTTCTTTTTTTGTTTTCCCCGTACCACTTAACGGCTTAATCTCCTCCCTACAAGTACAAATCAACGGCTCATATTTCTCTTCTCTTCACTATATAAACTCCCCGACAAGGGTTCCCAGGGACATAGCGGAAACAAGCTGAAAAAGAGAAATAAAAAAAAAAAAAAAGAAGAGAGTTCGATAAGAAACGGTGTCGTTTAGTCGAGTGCACTTCTTCTCCGTCGCGGTTCATTGTCAGCCGTTTGATCTGATAAATTTCAAATTTTGTTTTCATTTTTTTTTCTTTTTGCGGTTTGATGATTGGATTTTGTTGAGGGAGATCGGAGATGTTGTTGTTGCAAAACGGAGTGGGGATCTCTAGGGCTTCTCCCTACGGCGGTGGAATCGTCGATCGAACTGATGATACCTACGACGCTGAGGCCGTGGCTGCCGGAAAAGCCGCTGTTTATGCGGTGAAGCAGGAGCCGGCTTCTTCGCTTGATATTGTGCCTCGTAAAGGACATGATTCACATGAAGGTTCGTTTCTTCATTGTTTTTAATATCAATATTCTTTATAAATTATTGTTATTTCTTAATTTTTCGAGCTTCGATATTATTTTTTTGTCAAAAAAAAAAAGATTTAAAAGCGCGAAAATTTTAGATTATTTTAGGGTTTTTATATCATCATTATTATTTATTATAAAGCTGAAAAATTGAAAAAAATTAAAAACTCTATGCCTTATTGTAAATGTTTTAATTGTTATTTATTCCGTAAAATTCTAAATTGGTTGAATTTTTTTTATCAGTGCAATGGTTTTCTTTTAATTGCTGATATAATGATTGATTTGCCTTTGATGCAGTTGATGAAGATATGCACTTGGCACTAGCTCATCAAATGTATAAATCTGGAAACTTCAAACAAGCACTGCATTATAGCAATGCTATTTATGACCAGAACCCGCTTCGTACTGATAATCTGCTCCTTTTGGGTGCTATTTATTATCAGGTTAAAAAGATTTCCTTTTTTTGTCATCTTTAATATGGGATCGTGCTTTTGTAGTTTTATAATATTTTTGTGAATGTCTGCAGTTGCATGATTATGATATGTGCATTACCAAAAATCAAGAAGCCCTTGGAATTGATCCTCGTTTTGCCGAGTGTTATGGAAACATGGCAAATGCTTGGAAGGTACTTGTTAATCTTTATATCAATCTTTTGAAGTAAGAATGAATCTTAAAAAAGAAGGGTTTTTTAAGAACTGCAACTGATGGAGGTTTATTTTTGCCCTAATTTGTAGGAAAAAGGCGATATTGATGCTGCCATTCGGTACTATATGATTGCAATTGAGGTTTGTTTGTAGTTAGTAATGATTTTTCTTCCTCCTTTGCTAGTGAAATCTTTTGTTAGTTTGTTGATCTTTGTTTGAACTTGCATTGCTGCAGCTTCGACCTAACTTTGCTGATGCATGGTCAAATTTAGCTAGTGCTTACATGCGAAAAGGGAGATTTAATGAGGCTGCACAGTGTTGCCGTCAGGCGCTGCAATTAAATCCTCTTTTGGTATATTTTAATCTAGTTGTATTTTATTATAATCCAGTTAAATGTTATATACTTCTAACTCAACAGGAAGTTCTACATTTCAATTTCTATTGCTTTTGTCCCTTTGTTTCTTAACAACTAATTGAGACACAGCATTTAAGGTTTCAATAAGATTTTCTGACATATATCTTTTAATTGGTCTACAGGTTGATGCTCATAGTAACCTTGGAAATCTGATGAAGGCGCAAGGGCTGGTGCAACAAGTAAGTGTCAAGAAATGAAATGTTTATACTGTTTGATAGCCCAACTACATAAGTAATAGCCAGGAATGTGAACTCTTGGGCTGAATTATGGTAACTGATGTAATTCATGCCTTTGGCAAATACCATGTTTAACATCTGCAATTAGGATTTTGCTTGGATCTCATTCTATCCATGTTTTGAAGGCAGTGGTCTAATCTTTTGCCCACTGTGAGTGTATGCTAATTGCTGGGTTAACCTGGCCTACCTTCTTACCATCCTGCCCGAACAGAATGTGAGGGGAAAACATCCTTCCCATATTTAGATTTTTTAGCGTGTCTTTACCTGGTAAGTTACTGATGGAAGTAATTCATGTTTGGAACTGTCTCAATATCATGGTTCAATACAGATATCAAGTTGTTATCTACAGGCCAGGGCTCAGATGATGGTTGCTCTTGTTGTAACTTCCATCTGCAAAGACTCGAAATTGTCAGAATCTAACATTTTGTGCAGGCATACAGTTGCTACCTCGAGGCTCTACGGATACAGCCAACTTTTGCCATTGCATGGTCAAATCTTGCGGGTCTTTTCATGGATTCAGGTGACTTAAATCGAGCACTTCAGTATTACAAGGTATGCTGTAATTTCATTGTCCTGCTTGCAAAAGATATGGCATGATAAATTTTTAATGTGCTGATTCTTTGTTAATAATTTTTAATGAGATATAATCCAACAACCCTCCTGCTCCCTTACTCCTTGATTTTAGTTCTAGAACTACTTTATATTCTGTTAAACTGATTTACAATTGTAAATTTCGAATTGCAGGAAGCTGTTAAACTCAAACCCACATTTCCTGATGCCTATTTAAATCTTGGGAATATTTATAAGGTAAGCCATCTTGCCTTGTGCTCATGTTGTTGGGTTGCTGCAAGTGCCTGGACCTGTCTTCTTGTATTGGAGAAAAACAAGACATCTCTTTTGCCTTTTCCAGGCTTTGGGAATGCCTCAAGAGGCTATTGTTTGTTATCAGCGTGCTGTTCAGACTCGGCCAAACAATCCAATAGCTTTGGGTAAGTGCTACTACAGCACATGGATCCACTATATCTTCTCTTTGATGAGGGGTGGAATTTTCAAATGAATTGCATTTGGCTGCTTGGTTGCAGATATATGTTTTTCCTTTCTGTTGTGTTTAGTCTAAGGCATCAAGACATGGTAGATTTTTCTTTGACACTATTATTTTTATAATACGTCTAAAGATGGTCCTGTTAATTTATGTTATTGAAGTACAAGTTATGTGACTCTATGGTGCAGGTAATCTGGCTAGTACGTACTATGAGCGAGGTCAATTAGATCTCGCTATTCTCCACTATAAGCAAGCTATTGCCAGTGATCAAAGATTTTTGGAGGCTTACAATAATTTGGTTGGTTTTCACATTTGTGTGAGATTGTAAACATTATAGTAGTTTCATGCTTTTGCTTTTAAAGTAGTTGCTAACTTTAATTTGCTTTTAATTATTGACTTGAAGGGAAATGCATTGAAAGATGTGGGTTGTGTTGATGAGGCAATTCAATGCTATAATGTAGGTTCTTTTCTGGTCATCTAGGTTTTGTCTTCTCTCATTTACTGTTATTGATCTTTTGAACTTATCATTTTTCATTGTGGGTGAAGCAATGTCTTACATTGCAACCTAATCATCCACAAGCACTTACCAACCTTGGGAACATATATATGGAATGGTATGCTATCCTCAAATTCTTGATGTCTGAATGATCAAAATTCGGCTCGTGACGAGTTTTTGGTGAATAGCATTTTTACAAGATGTTTTGGAATTTGTAGGAACATGGTTGCTACTGCTGCTTCTTACTATAAGGCTACGTTGGCTGTCACAACAGGGTTGTCTGCTCCATTCAACAACCTTGCTGTAATCTATAAGCAACAGGTTGTTTTTTGGTGTTTGACTTCCTGTTTTTGCTTTGATACTAACTGGATGTTAGAAAGTGCCCTTTTTTTGTTGCCTCAGTATTTAATGAGTATTATATTTTTACTGTAGGGAAATTACGTGGAAGCTATATCTTGTTACAATGAGGTTTTACGGATTGATCCCTTGGCAGCTGATGGGCTTGTAAATAGGGGTAACACTTACAAGGAGATTGGTAGAGTGAGTGAAGCAATTCAAGATTATATTCATGCTATTAATATCCGGCCAAATATGGCTGAAGCCCATGCAAATCTGGCTTCTGCCTATAAAGATAGGTAATTTTCTTTGTTTCCGATCATTTTTTTAATGTTCACATTCCTTCGTAAGAGTATCCATTTTTGTCTAGAGTTTTCTTAGGATCACTAGCATCTTTTTATGGGGCACGTAGAGAAAAGGGACTTTGCTTCCCTAAATTAAAACAATGTTTCCTTGGGATTTTTTCTGCTTTGATGCATGCTACTCTTGTCAGTGTAAATTTTATTGATGACATCTATTTAAGGTTTCTTCTATTGGGCTGAGGAAAGTGCCTTTTAAGGTTCTAATAATTTGGTGACTTTGAGTTGGGTTTACTTGTAATACAGTGGACATGTAGAGGCCGCTGTCAAAAGCTATAGGCAGGCATTGCTTCTACGACCAGATTTTCCTGAAGCTACCTGTAACCTCCTCCATACGTTACAGGTATCATGGCTTGAATTCTAATGCACTATGGTATTAGTGTAAGCTAGCTCAAAAAGTAAAATTAATATCTAGGCAAAAGCTACATTTACATGCATTATGTATCATTGTATGTAGTAGTAGGAAGCATTTATTGGACATGCCAATTTCTTTCAAGGCATTCAACCCTTTCTAGGTGATCATATTCTGACTGTATGTTCCTAATTCTAAGAGTAATGCTTGATTCAGTGAACTAAAAGCTAAGATTTATATAGCTTGCTACATTGGTTATCTTGTGGGAGTACTTAATTGGAACTTGAAGTTTTTAGAGAAACATATTGAATTGGGATCAACTAATCTAATTGTATTTTATATTTGCAGTGTGTGTGCAGCTGGGAGGACCGAGATAACATGTTTACTGACGTTGAAGACATTATTCGAAGGCAGATTAATGTGAGTATTGATATTCATGTACTTTTTTTCCTTTGCCTTGTCATTTATGTTTTTTTTTAATATCAATTTTAAGACTGGCAACTACTTCCATAGTATTTCCCTTTTCAATGCACTTAACTGCAATATTCCTTCATCTCAGATGTCAGTTCTTCCTAGTGTGCAACCTTTCCATGCCATAGCATATCCCATTGATCCAATGCTTGCACTCGATATAAGGTATAAATTTCTTTCCATACCATCATATGTAATTTACTGTGGTGAACTAGAGTTTTTAATTAACATTTCGTCCTTCTATTGCAGCCGTAAATATGCTGCTCATTGCTCCTTGATTGCATCTCGTTTTGCTCTTCCTCCTTTCAACCATCCCGCTAAAATTCCTATTATATGCAATGGGGGAAATGAGAGGCTAAAGGTTGGCTATGTAAGCAGTGACTTTGGCAATCACCCCTTGTCACATCTAATGGGATCGGTATTTGGCATGCACAGCAAGGAGAATGTTGAGGTTTTTTTCTTTTCTTTTTTTTTTGTTTTTTGTTTAACTTATTATTGTAGAACTCTATGGTCATGATTAAACATAAAATTATGGTGTTTGCAGGTATTTTGCTATGCATTGAGTCAAAATGATGGTACTGAGTGGAGACTGCGTATCCAGTCTGAAGCTGAGCATTTTATAGATGTGTCTGCCTTGTCATCAGATGTGATTGCCAAAATGATTAATGAGGATGGAATACAGATCCTTATCAACCTGAATGGTTATACCAAGGTTCATTTTTCTCATCCTTTGAGGAACCTAATTTTATTTTAAGAGGCTTGCTATATTGAGTGCTATTATGATATGATAACTAAAAATAATCTAAATTCCTTTATTTTAATTTTTTGTGTTGCCTATTTTATTTAATGTAGGGTGCTGAAAATTCTGTTCTATTTTATGTTTCTGAAATATCAACCTTATGAATATGAAATTTTAATATGAAATATTTGCCCTGCTCAATAATACAGGGGGCAAGGAATGAAATATTTGCCATGCAGCCTGCACCTATACAGGTTTCATATATGGGATTTCCTGGGACTACTGGGGCAAATTACATTGATTACTTGGTCACTGATGAGGTAGGAATTGGTGCCTCACATAAACCTTCAATGATTCATATGTTCTTTGTCTAAGTTGCTATTTTGTTCTCTTTCAGTTTGTTTCACCTTTGTGTTATTCGCATATTTATTCTGAGAAGCTTGTCCATCTCCCTCATTGCTACTTTGTGAATGATTATAAGCAGGTGAGTTTTTGAATGGTGCAATAAAATAGAATCTATTGATTGTTAGTGAACTCTTATGATGTTCATTAATAGTCATTTAGACAATACAGACCTGATACTGTAAACTATTATTGTTTGCAGAAAAATCGGGATGTGTTGGATCCAACTTGTCAGTACAAGCGATCTGATTATGGTCTTCCAGAAGATAAATTTATTTTTGCATGCTTCAACCAATTGTATAAAATGGATCCTGAAATCTTTAATACATGGTAATATGACGAGGATCCCGAGTTAAATGAATGTAATTTCTCAAATTTTGTCATTTCACTTATATACTTCTTTTACCATTCAGGTGTAATATTCTTAAGCGTGTACCAAATAGCGCACTTTGGCTTCTCAGATTCCCAGCTGCTGGAGAAATGAGACTGCGAGCATGTAGGTTATAGTATTTCATGTCTTATAAGAATGCAAACTTCATAATATTGGGGTTTTTATTGGTGATGTTGGGCTTTTGTTTCAGATGCTGTTGCACAAGGAGTACAGCCAGAGCAAATTATTTTCACAGATGTTGCAATGAAACATGAGCATATCAGGCGTAGTGCTTTAGCTGATCTATTTCTTGACACGTAACTACTCTCTGCCCTTCTCTCGTTCTTTAACAGCATTGTTTTGATCTGCATTTCAGTAATGATGGTTTCATTATTCTTCTTTACAGACCTTTATGCAATGCACATACTACTGGCACGGATATATTATGGGCTGGTTTACCTATGGTGACTCTGCCCCTTGAGAAAATGGCTACAAGGGTTGCTGGATCACTTTGTCTAGCTACTGGTTTGGGGGAGGAGATGATTGTGAAAAGGTGGGTGCTTTTAACACTGTCCTTGGCGAGTATGGATTTGCATGCGATTGTATCGAGTTTAATTGTCATTACGTTAGTGGTTCGAGTTGGGCATATCTAGTTCTCAATTTTCTATGCCTTTATGTTATTGTAATTTCTTCATGTTTTACAGTATGAAGGAATATGAAGAAAGGGCCGTCTCTTTGGCATTAAATAGGCCGAAGCTCCAGGCTCTTACCAATAAACTCAAGGCGGCTCGTTTAACTTGCCCTCTTTTTGACACAGCACGCTGGGTGAGCTTGATTAACACTACGTTGTTATTTTTGCATTACCTATCACGATAAATGCTTAAAAATTTACTTCCAAACCATGGCAGGTGCGGAATCTGGAGAGGTCATACTTCAAAATGTGGAATCTTTATTGCTCAGGGCAGCAGCCCCAGCATTTCAAAGTCGCTGAGAATGACTTAGAGTTCCCGTATGATAGATAGGGACAAACGGGGATTGTAGATAAAGAAGCAAAGAGGATATAGAAGAAAAATTTTCCTACTTCGGAAAATGATCGTTTAGAATTTATTATTTAAAATGCAGTTGAGATGTGTTTCTGATATTTTTATGCAGATGCATCAAAATCTCTGTATTGCCCTAAATATAAACGTGGCAATGACTCGAATTGCGGAAGAAGAAATGAAATTACTAGTACGAGTGTTATTCACCTGATCATTCATGTATGCTGGAAATGGAATTGTGTTAATCTTGTGATTGTTGATGAATAGAAGTCAGAAATGGCGGCCGACAATTATGTTGCAGAAAGATTGTCTTTTCCTGATTCATCGTCACAGAAAAAGTTGCGGAGGCCTGGATGTGGATTCAATTCAATGAATCAGGGTAAATGCCAATATGGCTGGTTTCTTTTTCCATGTGATGGCAACAGGATAATCTGATTAGGACATTGACCGAAATTCTGAATGGGATAGGCTTTGGCACCTTACTTCACTGACCCAATATAATAATGGTATTTTCCTCTCTCTCCCTCTCTCTCTCTCTCTGTTGAACTTGAAACAAACTTTGTCGACATCTAGTTGTCTTCCATTAAAGGGGAAAGCGGTTGTCATCTTCCACTAGGGGTTCCAATTCCACGTTGAAGTCTAGACTTCTTATCATAAACATTGCAGGCCGATTGTTCTGGATAACAGGCAAATCTCAATTTGAGTAGTCGCCGAATCATGATAGCGGAAAACAATTAGGCAAATGTAGTTAGTCTTGAACAAGAATGAATCAATCCTGATGGTTTCTAAGTTCTGTTCTACAAGGAGGATAGGGAAATAACTAAATCTGACGGAGAGGCATCACTGCAGTCTCAGATTCCAAAGTGGGATCAGATCAGATCAGTTCTATACGAGCAAAAGTTGC